TTTATTTCCTTTAGAATGGATAGGTTTGTTCACCTTGCAATCCAGGGGACTCTCAAGAGTCTCCTCCAGCACCACAATTCAAAAGCATCAATTCTTTGGCAGTCAGATTTCTTTATGGTCCAGCTCTCACTTCTATACATCACTACAGAAAAAACCATAGCTTTGACTATGCGGACTTTTGTCGACAAGGTGATGTCTCTGGTTTTTAAGATACTGTCGAGGTTTGTCATCACTTTCCTCCCAAGAAGCAGGTGTCTTTTAATTTCGTGGCTGCTGTCAGCATCTGCAGTGATCATGGAGAAAGTGAAATCTGAAAGTGACAGCTCTCACTTCTATACATCACTACAGAAAAAACCATAGCTTTGACTATGCGGACTTTTGTCGACAAGGTGATGTCTCTGGTTTTTAAGATACTGTCGAGGTTTGTCATCACTTTCCTCCCAAGAAGCAGGTGTCTTTTAATTTCGTGGCTGCTGTCAGCATCTGCAGTGATCATGGAGAAAGTGAAATCTGAAAGTGAAAGAAAGTGAAATCTGTCACTGCCCCCATATCTTCCTCTTCTATTTCCCATGAGGTGATGGGACCAGTGACCATGATCTTAGTTTTTTTTATGTTGAGCTTCAGACCATTTTTTGCGTTCTCCTTTTTCACCCTCATTAAGATGTTCTTAGTGGTATCATCTGCATATCAGAGATTGTTGATATTTCTTGTGGCAATCTTAATTCCGGTTTGGGATTCCTCCAGTCTGGCCTTTCGTATGATGCATTCTGCATATAAGTTAAATAAAGCCAGGGGACAATATACAGTCTTGTTGTACTCCTTTCCACATTTTGAACCAATCAGTTGTTCCATATCCAGTTCTAAATGTTGCTTCCTGTTCCACATATAGAATGTTCAGGAGGGAGATAAGGTGGTCAGGCACTCCAGTTTCTTTAAGGACTTCCTTTTTTGGGATTGGGATGTAGACTGATCTTTTCCAATCCTCTGGCCACTGTTGAATTTTCCAAACTTGTTGGCATACTGAAGTTGGCCTTAACAGCGTCATCTTTTAATATTTTAATTAGTTTAACTGAATGCCATCACCTCCACTGGCCTTGTTGTTAGCCGTGCTTTCTAAGGCCCACTTGACTTAACTCTCTAGGATGTGAGTCAGCAACCATATTATCTGGGTTGTCTGGAACATCCTGATCTTTCTGGTATAATTCCTCTCTGTATTCTTTCCACCTCTTCTTGATGTCTTAAGCTTCTGTTAGGTCCCTTCCAATTTTGTCTTTTATCATGTGCATCTTTGCACAAAATGTTCCTTTAATATCTCCAAATTTCTTGAACAGATCTCTGGTTTTTCCCTTTCTATTCTTTTCCTTCTATTTCTTTGCACTGTTCATTTAAGAAGGCCCTCTTGTCTCTCCTTGCTATTCTTTGGAAGTCTGTGTTCAATTTTCTGTAACTTTCCCTATCTCCCTTGCATTTAGCTTCCCTTCTCCTCTCTGCTATTTCTAAGGCCTCATTGGACAGCCACTTTGCTTTCTTGCATTTCCTTTTCTTTGGGATGGTTTTATTGCTGCCTCCTGTACAATGTTACGAGCCTCTACCCAAAGTTCTTCAGGCACTCTGTCCACCAAATTGAGTTCCTTAAAATCTGTTCTTCACTTCCACTGTGTATTCATAAGGGATTTGGTTTAGATTATAACTGACTAGCCCAGTGGGTTTTTTCCTACTTTCTGCAGTTTAAACTTGAATTTTGCGATAAGAAGCTGATGATCAGAGCCACAATCAGCTCCAGGACTTGTTTTTACTGACTTAGAGCTTCTTCACCTTTGGCTGCAGAGAATATAATCCACCTGATTTCGGAATTGCCCATCTGGTGATGTCCATGTGAAGAGTCGCCTCTTGCGTTGTTGGAAAAGAGTGTTTGTGATGACCAGCTTGTTCTTTTGACAAAACTCTATTAGACTTTGTCCTGCTTCATTTTGAATTCCAAGGCCAAACTTCCCTGTTGTTCATTTTATCTCTTGACTCCCTACTTTAGCATTCCAATCCCCTATAATGAGAAGAACATCTTTCTTTGGTGTCAGTTCTAGAAGGTGTTGTAAATCTTCATAGAACTGGTCAATTTCAGCCTTTCCAGCATTGGTGGTTGGTGCATAAACGTGGATTATTGTGATGTTGAAAGGTCTGCCTTGGATTTATATTGAAATCATTCTATCATTTTTGAGATTGTATCCCAATACTGTACAGCTTTTCTCACTCTTTTGTTGACTATGAGGGTTACTCCATTTCTTCTACGGGATTCTTGCCCACAGTAGTAGATATGATAATCGTCTGAATTGAATTCGCCCATTCCCATCCTTTTTAGTTCACTGGATGCCCAGGATGTCAATGTTTATCTTTGCCATCTCCTATTTGACCTCATTCAGCTTCCCAACGTTCATAGATCTTACATTCCAGGTTCCTATGCAGTATTTTTCTTTGCAGCATTGGACTTTCCTTTCACTTCCAGGCACGTCCACAGATGAGCATCCTTTCGGTTTTGGCCCAACCAGTTCATTAGCTCTGGACCTACTTGTACTTGTCCTTCGCTCTTCCTCAGTAGCATTTTGAATGCCTTTCTATCTGAGGGGCCCATCTTCAAGCATCATATCTTTTAGCCCAGTGGTCAGGGAACAGGTGTAAATTACCTCAAATGGGGTAAAAATGAAAATCCTGGGGTTAATGAAGAGGCAACCCCAACCCCCTTCTCTCCTCCTGCTCCTCCTCCTCCTCTTCTGCACACAGGGGGTCCCTGACCCCTTCTCTGGCCCGACTGCAACTGAGCCACAGTGGATGACGGCCGGCTCCAGCCAGCGGCGTACGGCAACTGAGGCGACAGCAGTGGGGCTGGCCATGGTAGAGATCGAGGCCAGGGCAAGTGGCCAGAGCGCCCCAGCCAGGAGGAGCCTCTCCTTCCAGTGCCTGGAGAGGTGGATCGCAGTGGAGTGGGGCAGGCACGGCAATGACGGTGGCCTAGGCCAGGCTCAGCCTCCTGTCACTGGGACATCACCACTGCCCCCTACACCCCGTCCCCAGAGAAGCCCGTTGGGCAGCAGCAGCGCTCGCCCAGCTGTGCAACTTCCTTCAGCGGAGCCTCTGTTCACTTTGATGGCGAGGCCCACGGGAGCCCCGACACCAAGGACAAGCCACCTGCTGCTCTTCGACGGCCACCCAGGAGCCGCCCGCCAGCGGAGAAGGGGAGCCACCCCCGTGGAGCCAAGGACTGAGCACAGCCCCACCAGGCAGTGGAGGTGGCGGCCCAGGTCTGGGCGACGAGTGCTCAACTGAGATCCTTCCTTTCAAATCAAGGGGGTAATGTTGGCGTATATAATTTTTTTTGGGGGGGGAGGGAAAAAGGGAAAAAGTTCCTTGGCCCCTATTTCAGCCTTTTGTTTCTGTTCATGGGGTATTCTTGGCAAAGATACTGGAGTGGCTTGTCAGCTCCTGCTCCAGGTGGATTGCCTTTGACCTTTCCATCTTGGGTGTCCCTGCACTGCATAGCCCATAGCTTCTCTGAATTACTCAAGCCCCTTCGCCATGACAGGTCAGCAATCCATGAAGGGGAAGGAACACATATTTCTAGCAAATGTCTCTTGCGCAATATTGTGACAGAATTGCATATTGTTGCAGAATATGATTGATTACTTGAAAAACCTGAAGAGGGGTTTCGCATTGCACTGGACTGAGGACTTTTCCTATAAAAACCCACTCTTTCCCTGTCAGAAAGAACAGCTCTCCCAGAATCAGTTCAATTCTGTTCAGTTGGTTCAAAGCTGTCTTGCGTTCCTCATCATCATTCTCTGATTGTGGGGTGAAGTCTGCTCCTCTCTACTGCCAAGAACAGGTAAGCAAAGTATCATGCTGTGTTTGTTATGAGCTTTGCTTCATGTTCCAATGTTCTGCTATTTTCATTGGGGAAAAGGTAAATGAACATGGCAGAAGTATAACTTGTCAGTGTCTTCCTTGGACATAGATATTCAAAAGGCTCTGCTACAGTTTTCATTGGCTCACAACTAAAAGGCAGGCTAAGGTTTGGACATGGCCTCAATATCTGATTGATAATTATTCTGATCATCCATGCTTTGAAATTCTACCCATCCATATGTACAATGTGATTCAAATAAATTGTGCTCTTTTTTTCTTAAAGATAAATTTCTTAGGTTTGAAGCCATTTGGCCATGTCATCTTACCTTGGACTGTTAGGCCGTTGCTGCCATTCCTGTACAGACATATCTTTTGTTGTTGTTGTTGTTCTTAAAATAACGAAGCAAAGAGAGTGGAGGAATGACTGGAGAAACCTGTCAGCCAAAATCCCTGTGGGATGCGCAAGCTAGGCAGCAACTCAGAGGTCTTAGCTGAGGGAGAACCTACCAGATAATAATCCCAGCCAAAGGAGCAGAGCTGAAGCAACATGTACTACCATCATTTAGAGTTGTTACTAGATAGCTTAGTGAGTTGATTACCTTGCTACAGAGTCAGAGACCAGGGATTTGACTCCACACGGAGTCTCTTGTGTCCCTTGGGAAGAGCGCCCCCAGAAAAAAGGTCTGGCAATCCACAAGTGAATACTCTCTACTAAGAAAACCCTGCAAAGGATTTCTACAAGCCAGAATTGATATAACGGCACATAATAATAGTTATCATCATCATCAAGGAGCTATGATGGTGAAAAGCACATGTCTGAACAATTTCCTCTCAAGTTCCTACACGTTGTTGGGGTACAAACATCACTTTTCAATTAGATTTATAGTATGCTTCTGTTGCAGTTTCCATTTTGGTCCCCTCAGTTGAACTGGTCCCCTAAGAGAACCCACCTAGTCAGGCCTTCAGAGAATGATACATGGAGAGAAATATCTCAAGAAAACGATACAGCCAGTGGCTCAGTTGAACAGAAGAGATACCTTGGATTAAGTCATGGAATTTTGCAATGTTTATCTTCCTTCTCTGCAGATTTCTTCCACAGGAACAAGATGTCCAATCTCCATTCATGGTGGCTTTTAGCTGGGCTCTTCGCTGTTGCCAACTGTGCAACTCAACCTGCCCAACAACAGAGCAATTTGCCTTATGTAAAGATAGCCCCTGGCAATGAGGATTTTGCCTTTCGATTTTACCATCAGATTGCTTCAGAGGAACCTGGGAAGAACATTTTCTTTTCTCCTGTCTCCATCTCTACTGCCTTTGCCTTCCTGTCACTGGGGGCTAAATCCGCCACACTGAGTCAGCTTTTGGCAGGGCTTGGCTTTAACCAGAAGGGGATCAGTGAGGGAGATATACACAAAGGTTTTCAGAGTCTTCTCCAATCGCTAAACCGCCCAAAGGCTGGGTTTGAGCTGAGCCTTGGAAATGCTATTTTCACGAATGATCAGTTCACACTCCTCAAGAAGTTCTTGACTGATGCCAAGAATTTTTATCAAGCTGATGCTCTTCCTACTAATTTCAAAAAACCCCAAGAAGCTGTAAAGCAGATCAATAACTACGTACAGAAGCAAACACATGGAAAAATAGTTGATGTAATCAAAGATCTTGATTCGTCAGTTCTCGCTGTCCTTGTAAACTATATTTATTTCAAAGGTAAGACAAATTGATAATTTCCTCAATTTTATGTATGGTTGTTAGTCCCCTTTAGAGGCCTACAATTTAAGCAATGGCTTTAGAGTTTCCATGCTCTGACAGACGTCTGGCCATGAAGTTAATGTTTGATGCCTCAAAGGTTTTGGTGGTAATCTCCATTTTCTCTAATAAGAAAAACTGATATAGAAACAGGCCTGAGGAATAGAAAAGGGTTTCCTAGAGCAGTGGTTCTTAACCTTTGTTACTCGGATGCTTTTGAACTGCAACTCCCAGAAACCCCAGTCAGGACAGCTGGTGGTGAAGGCTTTTGGGAGTTGCAGTCCAAAACTCCTGAGTAACCCAAGGTTAAGAACCAGTGTCCTAGAGAATCCCATTAGCTCATAAGATGCTGAATATACTCTCATGTGAGAAGTGGGAAGTAGTTCAGCAGAATGTCAGCCAATGCAATGAGCAGAAACCAACACCTTGGGCTCAAAACCTTCTAGTGAAGGCCTTTCTCCCTCATGAACCGCATTTAGTTGTCTGTAAGGTGTTTGTCAGGTAGAACATCTGAAACAGAGGATTGTAAGATTTGTGATAAAAATCTGTTGAAGCTATGGTTGATAGCTGGCTGGCTGCTGCCACCAGGGGTGTTGACATGATCGCTCCTAAACGACCTCTCCAGCGCAGAGATCACCCTTTGCCCTGCTTTAATCCAGAGCTGCGATCAATGAAGCAAAATAGGAGAAGGCTAGAGCACATACAAGGATGTGGCAGCCAAAACTGTGCTCACAACCTGGGGTTCAATCCCAGGTAGGTTGACTCAAGGTTGACTCAGCCTTCTGTCCTTCCGAGGTCGGTAAAATGAGTACCCAGCTCGCCGGGGGGGGGCAATGTGTAGCCTGCATAACTAGCTGGCCCTAAAGCATTTCCAACCCCTGCTAAACTGTGCCCATCTCCCCTCTCTGACACTAGAAAATCACACTCTTGTAATATCATGAGGATCTGCCACTGATCTCAAGTTTAGTCTCATTTTAGAGCATGATTATACTATGATAATAAATGCAGACTTGCATCAGGGGTTTTTAAATCCTTTTTACAATCACATGGCAGTCACATGGTTTTTGGGCCGTACATCCTCTTGGGATATCTTTCAATCTGTATTAAAACTGTGTTGTATATCAGTGGAGGAGGTACATGGGCTTTTAGAATCATTGCCTCCCTCCTTTCCTGCCCTTTTTTTAACCTTAGAGGTCATCATAGGTTAAAAAAGTCTTCCCCCAGCGGACAGATTAATCACTTTTACATTAGTTCCTATGGGAACTAATGCTTTGAGATACAACCAGCGTGTTGAGATACAACCAAAAACTACTGGAACAGAGTGGTATAATATACCAGATGGGCGGGATATAAATCAAATAAGTAAATAAAGATAAATAAATAAATTGCATTTCAGTGTATTCCTATGGGAAATGGTGCTTTTAGTTATGACCAACTTGAATTATGACCATCACCCCGGAACAAATTAAATTCGCAACTCAAGGCATCACTGTAATTCCAGTTACAGACAGCATTTCATGGAAGGCAGAGATGAAAACAAAACATGGCAAAATTTGGGATTTCGTATATTGCACATTATTATTCTATCGCTGAAAGCCATGAAGAAACATCCACAGTTTTAAAAGACCCAATACGGACTCCTGTTGCATTACTGAAATTTGGATATATGTGAAATGGTGATAAATTTCTAACATGCAAATATGTTCAATCCTCGTGCTTTTCTCTTCATCAGCGCAGTGGGAAAGTCCTTTTAATCGTAACTATACTGGAAACAGTGATTTCTTTGTGGATGCGAAAACAAAGGTGCAAGTTCCCATGATGATCAACGATGACTATTATAATTATTACGAAGACAAGAAACTGTCCTGCTACGTTGTCCAAGTTCCCTACAAGGGTAATGTGAAGGCCTTGTTCGTTCTCCCTGACCAAGGAAAACTGAAACAGGTGGAAGCTGCACTTGGGAAAGACGTGTTGCTAAAATGGGAACAATCGTTGGAAGTAGGGTAAGCTGGTGTGTTGTGGCTGATGGAGTGTTAAGACCTTAGTTGAGGGAACTTGGTTCCAACCTGTGCTCACAGCACAACTGTCATTCTACCATCTGCCATATCTTGGTCCCAGTGGTCCCCAACCTTGGGCTCCAGATGTTCTTGGACTACAACTCTCAGAAGCCTTCATCACCACTTCTTCTGGCCAGGATTTCTGGGAGTTGAAGTCCAATAACATTTGGAGGCCCAAGATTGGGGACCACTGTCATATACCACTTAGAGTTGCTATTCTGTAATGAAGTTAAATATTGGAGAGGGGACTGTCTTCCCAGTTCTGACCCCCACAGAAAGGTGGTGGAGTACCATAATTTTCTGTTTATAAGATGCTACTTTTTCCTAAAATCATTGCACTAAAAATCGAGGAAAGAACAAAACGGCACTTACCTTGCCTCTGCAAACAGGCTTCCTTCAGTCAGGCTTAGCTTCCTCCAAACACGAGCCTTATGGAACTGATGTCAGCTGATGCTGAACAAACCAATTGGAAGACAATAGGGACTCCTCATGTCCAAGCATTCTGAGCCCAGAGGCTAAACACTCAAAGCTAAGTTTTCTTAAATTGGGGGTTAGAAGGGGTGGGATCTTATAAACAGGAGTGTGGTCCTGCTCTTGCATTTTTTTCTTTAATCTTCTGTTATTTCAAGTCATTCCTGCTTTCTGTCAGTAATATGGTTATCATCTGCACATCTTAAATTACTGATGTCCTCCTACCAGTTTTCATTCCTTCTTCATCAAAATCTAATCCAGATTACATTTTATTTCTTTTATTTTATTTAATATAGATATGTTGCCATTTTTACATGCTGTTAAGTTACCTTCAAGTCCTTTGATTACAATCTCAATTAATATACCATGGCTCAAATCCTGTACTGGCATACTAGGAAAATGCACTTGGCATAGCATAAAATTACGCCTGTGGTTTGCAGGAAGTTATGCCTAGGCGTTCTGTGTTGTTTGCCAGACTAAAAAAATGTTTGCAACTGTGCCTGCAGAAATGCTTGTTGGATTCTTGCTACATGAGAATGCAGTGACTTGTTACTCTGAAACCAGATTTCAAATGACCAAAATATTTGGCATAGTAACAGTAGACAATATTATGTTACTGTGTACCAGATTTGGTGATGCTATGGTCAAATAGATTTAAAGGTATGGGGTTTTTTAAGCACCATGTTTCCCCGAAGATAAGACAGGGTTTTATATTAATTTTTGTTCCAAAAAACACATTAGGGCTCATTTTCAGGGGATTTTTTTTCGTGTACAGCAGTCTACATTTATGCAAATACAGTCATGTCATCTTCTTCTGGTTGCTGCACAATGGTGGAGAATGAGGTTTCACTTTACTGGGACTTATTTTGGGGGTAGGGCTTATATTACGAGCATCCTGAAAAATCATACTAGGACTTATTTTCAGGGTAGGTCTTATTTTGGGAAAACAGGGTATAGGTAAAATATACCCCCTATACAGACACTGGCAATCTTTTTTGTCAGCAGGTTTTAAACAGATGAAATAAACTGAAAAGTCCAGCTTGTGAGTCCCAAGGGGATTTCTAAACATTTGACCCTGCCAGTCAGGATACAATAAACTGACTCTCAGGAGGAGAACTCTTTAACTCACTTGTAGTAAACTCAGGCAATTGAAACTGGGAAAAGGATACTGTATCTGGTTGTAACAATATTTTAAAAATATATTTTAAAAAGGAATAGCAAACAAATATTCAGAAGCTCATTTAAGCTGTGAAATTACTGTTCTTCACACTGAACAGCAGCCCTGATAATTGCTTTGTGTTTTAATGAGAAGTGATTGACTGATGGGAAAAGGAGTCAACTTCTGAGATTTTCCCTTGCTTTGTATCACTTTGTGAATGGTAGTAAGCACAAGAGGGCATCCTGTAGACGAGTAGTTCTTAACCTTGGGTTACTCAGGTGTTTTTGAACTGCAGCTCCCAGAAACCCCCGCCAGCACAGCTGGTGGTGAAGGCTTCTGGGAGTTGCAGTCCAAAAACACCTGAGTAACCCAAGGTTAAGAACCCACTGCTGTAGACCATTTTGACTGTAGCTATTGGTGTTGTCAACAAGCAGGCTGTCCTTTGCTATGTAAAGCTTGGCATCCATTTCCAGCTGGCAACGCAAGGACAATATTCTGCAGTCAGACTTTTTCCTGATGTTTTGAATTGTGGATGTTAAAACACAATAACAAAATAAAGGATTTTTGACTAACTGAAAATAATGTCTATCTTGGAGTTTACTGTGCAACAAAGAGAAGCAGATGTAGCTGTGCAACAGGAGTTTGACCACTGTGTCTTATATACACCATTCTAGAGGAGGGCTGAGGAATGTACAGCTGAGGAGTCATAGAATAATGCCATTCTTCTGTTTCTTTTTCCAACAGGAAACTAGCCCTCTTTCTTCCAAGGTTTTCCATGTCTACTAGTTATGATGTTAAAAAGATATTAAATAAATTGGGAGTTACTGACATATTTACAGACCGTGCTGACCTATCCGGTATTACTGGAGCACGTAACCTCAGGGTTTCAAAGGTATGCTTTCCTAAAGTAATTGTGCTGCAACAATGAAATCAAACACTGTCGTGTTATTTTGGGGACAAGTACATCCTTGTTTCAAGATACCCAAACATGTAGTGCAGGAGATAGAGGATCTGCATAAATTCCTGAGTGCTTCTCTGCATAGATAGATATTCTCCATATATGGGGGAAATGTGACAATGTTTTCCAAACAGACATGCCATAATAGACATTTGTGCAATTTTGTATATATGAAAGTACATTTGAAGTACACATGAGTGTACACATTCTGTACAGAGGTCATCATTTCATATAAGAAAGACTGTTGTATGTGCAGCAGCTGTAAGAAAGCATCTGCCTCGGCAGTGACACTTAGGCATTCTCTTGCCCAAACTTATCCAGCCTCACCCTATTCAGACATCCAAAGAAAGGTAGATATACAACATCCCATGAGTTGATCCAGGCATTCAGGAGAGGGCTAACCTGAACTTCTTTGTAATATTTAGAACACTGGCATTGCAAGGATCCTTTAGATCCTGTGGCATTGCAGGGAGAGCTGTAGACTGAAATTGAGAGTTTCTGCTATGTGTGTGGGCTCTCTAACATCTACTTTGGTTTGGGCGTGTCGTGAGAATGGTTGACGGTCGGATTCCAAAAGATCTCCTGTATGGAGAATTAGTGCAGGGAAAGCGCCCCAGAGGGAGACCACAGCTGCAATACAAAGATATCTGCAAGTGGGATCTGAAGGCCTTAGGAATGGACCTCAACAGATGGGAAAACTTGACACCTGAGCATTCAGCATGGAGGCAGCCGATGCAGCATGGCCTCTTCCAACTTGAAGAGACACTTGTTCAGCAGGGAAAGGCAAAGAGGCAGTCCCGAAACCAGGAAAACCAGAGAGCTGGAGAGGGGACAGATTGTATTTGTCTTCAGTGTGGAAGGGATTGTCACTCTCAAATTGACCTTCTCAGCCACACTAGGCGCTGTTCCAAGTCCTCCATACAGAGCACGTTACCATAGTCTCTCGAGACTGAAGGATGCCTACTAACTCCTTGGAAACTGAGACTCTGAAAGATCAGGATGTCCAATCATGATACTCTCCATTTTCATTCATCCACAACCAAGAAAGGTTTCTCAGCTCACCAAAACCCTTGCAGAAAAACTCTCATTCATGCAGAAGAGTGAAAAGGACAAGGTTGTGGTATCAGCAGCACAGAGAAGAAAGGATTTATGCAAAATGTAAAGAATTTTTTTGTGAAGGAGGAAAAAATGACTCCATTTTCTGCAAAATCAATGCGAAAAGGGGGGAAATAAACAAAAGCCTTTGTCACTGCCAAAGTCCCCTGCAAAACAAGTATTATTTTTAGTAATTAACACCAGTAATAGTTATTTTTGTCATTTCTCAGGCTGCTTCAGCAGCTTTGAGGGGAACATTAGGAGAATTAAGGAGAACAAAGGGGCACCTATGCAAAAACAATTTTGGATTTTCAAGTCTTTCTTTTGAAGGCTTGAAAACATTTCAAGGTACCTTGAGCACTACAAGAGCATTGTATACAGAAAGGCAAGATAACTTTCAATCCATGACTGAAGTGGGGAGTGTATGGTACTAAGGAGATCAGACGACACTGAGACAGGACAGCATTATGAGATTGGGCCAAATATATTATACTGTTGTTATGTGCCGTAAAGTCAGAACTGACTTTATAGAGATGCTAAAATAGGAGCTCAAAGTAAGTGAGATAGTTAAGGAGTGTTGTTACCAATTTCATACCCCCAGTGCCTTTCCATGACTGAATGGGGACATGAAACCAGGCTTCCTAAGTCCACGAACATCACTCTGTCCACTACATTACTAGACCAGATCTAGCTTGTATAATAAATACCAGGTTACTCTCCTATAATAATTTTTTTCCTTTCCTTGCAGACAATTCACAAAGCTTTTCTAAATGTCCGTGAGAATGGCACTGAAGCTGCAGCTGCCGCAGTGCTTCAGATTGGCGACCGTTTCGGCGTTATCACAGTAAAATTCAACAGGCCATTCGTCTTCCTGATAGTTGATTATCAGTCTAAGACTATCTTATTCATGGCAAGAGTGAATAATCCAAGCGTGGAGCAGTCACAAAATTAGTGGCTTTGTTGCAGTACTGGCAGCTCAATGCTACCCAAATAAACCGCATGTTTCAAAAGGTGCTTATGGGTCAGTTGCTTGAACGGCATCAGGAATTGCCAAATTAAACATATAAAAATTAAAGTGCATGTTATGTTTTTTTCTTCACATGTTTAAAATCAGATATATGTATTTGTCACCACAGTATTATGAACTGCTGGATAGCTCAGTAGCTTAGGTCTCTGGCTGCAGAGCCCGAGATGGGGAGGTCAATTCCCCACTATGCCTCCTTGAGAGGGGCTGGACTTGATAGGGTCCCTTCCAGCTTTGCAGTTTAAAGGTTATTATTATTCAGAGGTTATTATGTATTTGTTCTAAATACAAAGGGCATCTTGCAACATATTGTACCCAAACTTTATTCCAATATAAATTTTCATTCAATGGAAGGTGTAAAACAAACCTCCTAGGTTTTCTAAGCATAAAATATTCTGGGTGGTTTACCAGTCCCTCCGTCCCTTGGTGCTCTGACACCCCATAACTTGCCAAAGACCACACAGGTTGCAGGGGACATAAACCCTATCAGCAACACACACTCAAGGGGTCTTGGTTGGCCCCTTTCTGCAAAGCACAGTAGGGATTTCAGCTCCCTGACTGAGACTCCAAAGCTGCAGGTCCGAGAACAATGACTGGAATTTGCTTAATGAGCAATATGCATTGTGTACTAGCAGCTAACTTACCACTGAAATGATGGTTGAAAGTCTGATCGCCAGGAAGACAGGCAAACATTCACACTAGTTAGCATTTGATGAACAAGAACTGTTTGTTTCATCTACTTACTTGTTCATTCTGGTGATGAACTACAGTATAGAGAGGCCAGAGTTGGTAGTTCAGCAGGTCAGCACAAACAGATAGGATGTCTCAGCACGATACTCCTCCCTTACTCACATGCCAGTGAATGCTCCCCAGATCAGCCTATTTTCTATGCTGAGTCCCTTTAATATCTCCCCAGGGGTTGTACATTTTTATTTTGTTCTCACACATCAGATAAACTGATGAACTACAGTATAGAGAGGCCAGAGTTGGTAGTTCAGCAGGTCAGCACAAACAGATAGGATGTCTCAGCACGATACTCCTCCCTTACTCACATGCCAGTGAATGCTCCCCAGATCAGCCTATTTTCTATGCTGAGTCCCTTTAATATCTCCCCAGGGGTTGTACATTTTTATTTTGTTCTCACACATCAGATAAACCACTTCAAAAGTTTTCTCCCTTTGGTTGAGATTAATCATATTGCTGTGCTTTTTTGTTCTCATTTCATAGCATTTTTCTATTAAAATGATGTGGCTATGCAACAGAAAAGGTAGTATTTTGCACTGAAAATCTTGAGTTTTGCACATTTGTTGCACAAAAATATAACTTTTTGTTGATAATGCTGTTGACAGAAATCACTGGTGTTTTTATTGTTGTGGAGTAGCGCAGAAGCTGACTTTTTTTAAAATGGGTTGTGTCAAGACACCCTCATCAAAAGTCTGAAAAGATTATGAATATTCATTACATCTTTTATTTATTTCAAGAAGAAGTCAGCTTTGGACTGACAACTTTCCTGCCTTCTAACTATTAAATCACAGAGGTCCTGATGCAGACTGCACATAAACACATCACAACTCATGAGAAACAAATGTCTACAGTGGTGTCTTGACTTACGAATTTAATTGGTTCCAGAACTCTGGTTGTAACTCAATATGGTCATAGGTTGTGACGTTTGTAAGATGAGGCACCACTGTACTATCATACTATCATACTTGCAGAGTAGGAAATGCCATGCCCGTTGCTAAGGCGAGGAAGAAAAGGTACACTTCGGAGAATAAACTAATTTTGATTACTTTGTTCACTGTGCACTTTGCCTTGTTGAGGCTGCACCCACATTGTAATATGCTCCTCCAATTACTCCAGGTGTTGTTGTTTTTTATTTGTTTAGACATGCCCAATTCTTCATGACCCCATGGACCAGAGCATGCCAGACCCTCCTGTCTTCCAATGCCTCCCGGAGTTCGGTCAAATTCATGTTAGTAGCTTTGGTGATGCTGTCCAACCACCTCATCCTCTGTCGCCTCCTTCTCTTCTTGCCTTCACACTTTCCCAACATCACGATCTTTTCTAGGGAGTCTTCTCTTCTCATGAGATGGCCAAAGTATTTGAGCCTCAGCTTCAGGATCTGTCCTTCCAGTGAACACTCAGGGTTGATTTCCTTTAGAATGGATAGGTTTGTTCTCTTTGCAGTCCAGGGGACTCTCAAGAGCCTCCTCCAGCACCACAATTCAAAAGCATCAATTCTTTAGCGGTCAGCTTTCTTTATGGTCCAGCTCTCGCTTCCATACATCACTGCAGTGATCGTGGAACCCAAGAAAGTAAAATCTGTCACTGCTTCCTTATCTTCCCCTTCTATTTGCCAGGAGGTGATGGGGCCAGTGGCCATGATCTTAGTTTTTTTCAATGTTGAGCCTTAGGCCATTTTGTGCTCTCCTCTTTCACCCTCATTAAGAGGTTCTTTAAGTCCTCCTCACTTCCTGCCATCAGAGTGGTATCATCTGCATATCGGAGGTATGCTAGATTAAATCAAGCCCGAGCTTTTCAATCAAACTATCTTGCAACAATTCTTACTTCTTTTCCTTGCAGGCTTTACATACCACAAGCTGACTTAAACATGCATAAGTATGGCACTGAAGCTGCAGCTTCTACTGGCCTTCTCTTCACTGAATTTCATTCAACCAAAACTTCCTTCATAAGAGTACTCAACAAAGATACCATGACATTCACTGGAAATATTACAAATCCGACACAGTGCATTAATCACATGAACAACACGGTCATACCGAAAGGTAAGGCCAATGTGAAAAGGTGCTTTGTTCCCAGTTGCTTTCTCTGTTCCATCTCCTGTATTCACAAATAAATAAAACATTCATGGGTTTACTGAGATATGTGGGACTACATGAAGCATAAGAGCCAGTTCAATGTAGTGGACAAGGAGGAAGTCAGTGTGATACTGTGAGAAGTGACCAGTTTTTCCACTGTGCAATTATCAGTCAACCTGCTCTCTGCATCTCAACCCCCAGGAAACTATCTAACAGCGAGGTGGTGATACAGTGCAAAGGTCAAGTCAATATCATTTTAGTTACCTTGAGAAAGGACAGATTGCTCTGACATTCTCAGAAGGGTGAGTATGGCCACAACAGTGACCCTCCTCATGGTAAGTGAGGCACAGGGCAAAACCATGCAGAACTGAATAAAAAGCAAACATGGTAACAAATAGATATCACATCCTTCTGGAAGTCATTGAAAAACAAAAAAAGAGCATTCCTGTTCCATAACAGACAGTTCCTCCGGCTTCCTTCTGGAAGTCATTGAAAAACAAAAAAGAGCATTCCCATTCCATAACAGACAGTTCCTCCGGCTTACAGTATGCAGGAAATTCTCAGCAAAAATAAACTGAAATGAAATGTACACTCATCCCTTATTCCCATGCATGGAACTACAACCGTAATATTTTCATGACAGCTTATGCCACCAGAAGGTCCTAAGAAAAAGATCATGCCACAATTCCTGTGTGTATAAAGGAGCAGGTCCATCTCTCCATTTAGTCCCTTGCTGTTGCATTGAATAACCACCCTATAGCAGTGGTTCTCAACCTTGATTCCCCAGATATTTTTGGAGTAAAACTCCCAGAAATCTTCATCACTAGTTGATGTTGGCCAGAATTTCTGGAAGTTGTCATCTAAGAATATCCAGGGACTTAAGGTTGGGAACTACTGCTCTAGAGCTATGTTTCTGCCACAGTGGTCCAGGGATCTCCAGCAGTACCAAACCAGAATGAGTAGATCTTGCATCCTTCTGCTTTCCCTTGCATTTTTTTTAAAGCTGCAAGTTATTTTCATACTAAAGATGATGAAATGGAAGAATTTTTATATATTCATCAGAAATGAATGGAAACATTTTTCCTTTTCTTCTAGAAATCTAAATTGTTTGAGCTATGTCCAGGTGTAACTCACTCTGATCTTCAGCTTGTGTACAAGGACCATGTCTCTTTTTTGTTTCTGACACAGCACGGACAGGGCCACCTTATGCTTGTCTGACAAATCAGCAATAATGCAGAGGAGCCCATCCAAAATAAAGAGAGGTGGTAACATGAATCATTGATTCAGTGTACAAACATTCAAACCCAGACTTAAGAGTAAAATGGGACTCCTATATCTGTGTCAGTTTCCCCTATATTCAGTTATTTTCATTCTCCAGTTTACTTCCATTTTGAACATACAAACATAGTCATCGTATTTTCCCATTACGTATATTTTTTTCAAATAGAAAGCCAAGAAACAAAATTCTCATCCATCCCTAATCTTAGTTCACTCTTTTAGGTGGGCCTCAGTACCCCTTGCAAGAGGAGGGGGATGAAATTGACAATGGCAGGAGAGACAGAGAATGCACTTTTGGTTTGAAGAAGCCATGAAGGAATGACAGCACTGGAATAATACCCTGCTTAGTACTCAGGATATGTTAAAAATGCTTAGGGGCGTTGCTAACCCATATCAGTGCCAACGAGGGTCATTTTAACATTATGGTTTATGCCAGAAATTCTGGAGGCCCAGTCTACCTCCAGCATAGAGCAAGTAAACTGGGCCTCAGGTTTCCCAGATCGCCTTGTCTTTCTCCTTTGGATTGACCAAGGCCCTGTCAAGCACTGCAAAAATAGAGTCCTGAGCATGTGCACTCTAATGCATCAGTACATGAGGTTGGGCTATGCAAGGTACTTGGATGTACACCATGGAGGAAGAGGGAAAATAACATTAAAACAAAAACAGGTCTTTTACCTCGCAGTGTCTGGAACAGCGCCTACTGAGTAAAGTGGAGATTTTAATCAGGGTAGCACCCTTCCCGCGCCACTATAATGTGAGGAAATCTGAATTGTGGATCATTCTGCCACAATGAAATCACTGTGACAAGGAATTCAGCCATTTCCAAATACT